CTTCAAAAACAGTACATTCGACCACCACTTTCTATACTACGACCACGATAATTTATCCAGGTTATACTACAACTTATTGGGTAACTACAAATGGAGTTGCAAGTCCAACTGAAAAATATATTCCTCCAAGTACCGTGATTATCGTTAGAAAAGTTACCGCAGAAGCCGTTGTAGAAATTGTTGGTGATGCTACTGCTACTACTACTCTTTCTTCTAATGCTGGCGATTCAATTAACAATATATGGAAAGATAATTTAAATCGTATGATTATCTGCTTGTGGGCGATTGGTGTTACTTTTGTTTACAGATTTTGATTTAATTTATAATACTAAACAAAGAGACATTTTTAATTCCTTTAAAGTTTTAATCGGATGAAATATTTTATATTGCGTTAGATTGATTTAAATATAATGTACATTGTTTTTATGTATTGGGTTCAGGTTTATTAATAAATAATTTGAAATATATATATATATACATACATATATTCCATTGTTTCTTATTTTGTTAAACCTTCAACACGATAATTTAAAAACAAAAGAAAAATGTCATTAACAAAACTTTATTGAACTTCTTAATAACAATAGATTGTTACAATGTAATCATTGAAGTTGAAAATCTTTACTACACATTCTAACGCATTGAAATATCAATCGTAAGTAATTGAAATAGTTACCAAGTCGAGTAAAATTATTTGATTTTCTTAAGTTATTATCAATAATTAGGGGCGCGGACATACAATAATTAAACCTGAACTAGGTCTTAATATTTATTTTTACTTCATTACGTCATAGTGTGGTTTAGTTTATTTTATAATAGGTCGTATAAGACGTGATTAGGTTATTTGTGTGGTAATTTGGAAATATGTGGATAATTAATAGTTAGTTCTGCATTTCTTAGCTGAAAATAACAAAATTTTTATTATGTCACTACATCACAACATATTGGCATACAACATAAATTACGACACATGACAATTTTTCTAGATAAAATAAAAATACGACACATGACGTGACGTCGCCATAATTAAAACGCACCTCTATCAATAACAGATAATATAAATGTTTAAATATTGTATTATCAATTTATAAATTTATTTACTAATGAATTTAAACCTGCAAAACTAATCAACAAATTAGAAATTATTCTCTGAAAACACATGTCTTTCGTCTACCATAATTTTTGACAAAGAAAGCTTAAAATTTAGAAAGTTTGTAATGATATTGTAGTCAAGCATCCAAATATTATTTTTGATAATTTAGTTTTTACTTCTCTTCTCAAATGAGTTGATCTTGAAAGAAATTATAATTTGGGACTATGGCATCAATTGAAAAATTGCTCAGAATACTACTTTCTCTACCAACCTTAAAGAATGGACCAAGAAAAATTTTCTTACATTAAAAAACTACCTATTCACTATTCTCACCTTTTAGTTGAAGACCATATAAAAAATATTTTTAAACAACTTTGGGAAGATATCAATAGGCATCTAAACGACCAGTCGAATAAATTATCTTGCCGGACTGGTAAAGGTCGTACAAATGAACTCAAAGAAATCGTGCGTGGAGAAAATTGATCATGTGACAAAAATGATTTTCTTCACTAAAATCAACACAGAGTTACACAATTATAAATGAGATCGCTAATTTTGAATTTAAATAAATCTGTTACACAAATACATACTTTTTAATTATATAAAAATGATTTTTTTTTGCAAAAAAAAACATGTTCACTTATTTTCAAGTAGCTGATTTTAAAAGGCAAGGTCTCTTACTCTAATTCTACACGTACGAAGTGTTTTACATTCAATTGGACAACAATTGGTTACGTTATTTAACTTTTTATTACAAAATTATTAATTTGGAATTAATTTCAAATCACTTTATTGAAAATTATAGTAATTTTAGAATAAAAAAATTTGTTTCTTTGTCAATGCTTCTTTAGTAAAAGGTGTATCCTTTTTTAAGTGTTCCAAAATTACAGGTACTAAATCTTTTTTTGTTTATTTCTTAATTCATCACCAAATATTCAAATTAACCATTGCAACTCATTTACTAAAAATATTTTAGAGAATTCTTCTTTTGCATTTTTCAGGTGTACCTATATTTGAAGCTGGTTTAATTCAAGTATAGGTTCCATCAGAATACTGGATTTTTTATTGAAGTATTATTTTCATAGCTTTAAGGTTTTCACAAAGACTTGAGGTTCTTTTTTCAGGAATAAATTTATTGAATCTTTTCCAGGACTTTTGTCTACTTTTTATATAGATAATAATAATTCGTTCATAGAGAAAACCTTTAACTTCATCTTTTAACTTATTATTTTTGGCACTTGTATATAATTTTTGATTGGCAATATTAATAAGTATATTAAAAGATTCTAATAATGATAAATTACACAATAAACTTTTTATGAATATATAAAAGGATATCAGGACCAAGATCATTATGTTTTTCAAATAATAATAAAATTATTAATTCTAATTTATACATGAAATCCAAAAAATCTTGATCAGGCATTACATTTGTTATCTGGGATCGTACATCTCGTTTATATACAACTTTTCTAAACTTAGAACCTTAAAATAAATACACATAAATTCATATTTAGGGTGTGATTTCATTATGTTGTCACTTTTAATTAATTTATAAATAACCCATCAAATATATATGAAAATTTGATGCCTCAGCCAGTTCAAAATTTATTATCATGTTCGAAATTAATTGTGAATTTACAGAATATAAATTTTTTTGTTCCGTATTTGTATTAAATGTAAACTTGATAACTTTTTGTAAAATCAAGTAAACCACAAGTCTTTGGATTGAAGAACCTTCTAAATTCATTTCTGTAGGAAAATCCTGATACCAAATTCCAGAACATTAATAATTATTTATACAAATTTCCAGTTGAGAACTCCAGTTTGCTAACTATTGAACTCCTATTTTTTTTTGAAATTGTTTTGTATGCTATCTTTTTAATTATATTTCTCCATTTTTCTAATAATTTATCAATAGAATCTTGATAAAGAATAGTTTTTATAAGATTATTCCATTCGCTTTGAAAATAAAAACATTATTATTTTCCTGTTTGGTATTTTTATTATATGCTTCTAATGGAATTTCAATTTTACCCATGAATAGATTATCTGATAAAAGATTTTCAAAAACAATATGGAGAAAGATGATAATTGGATCAATCTTTCCCAATACTTTGAATTGTTTTTATTATTAATAAGAAATTCCTTTTTATTTTTCAATAATCCTTAATTATAAATAAAATAAAAAATAATCTTTATTCAATTGCATATAAAAATAAATAAATAAATTATTATAATATTTTTAAATTAAAAAAAAATTAAATATATACCTTCTTGTTAAATTACTAATTTCATATCCATTGCAACTAGTATTTCCATAATTAAAACTTTTTATTTTGGATGAAACTAATGCTGTAATTTGATATTTATTTAATGCATGGCCATAGGATTTCAGTATTTGTGTTGAGGAATCTTTACCCAGTTCTCGAATTATTCCAAAAAGACCTTCAAGTGTACTTTGCTGAAATCAATGATTTTGAAGAATATCACCTCGATAACGAAAAGATATCACCTAGATATCACCAAAATATCCCCAAGATATCTTGAAATTTTTATATGAAAAAGATATCACGAGGATATTTTTGAGATAACTTTTTGATATAATAAGATATTGCCTTGATATCTCAAAATAACAACAAACTAATAACTTAATATATTCATTTAATATTACTTTAATATAATAAATTATCAAAATTATATTATTAAATTATAAATAATATCGATGCAATATATTTTAATCAATAAATTTTATTATCTAAAAAATATCGATTCGATATTTAATAAATATCAAATAAATATCTAAACAATATATTTTTTATTCAAAAATTATCTTTACAAAATATCACAGAGATATCTTGAAAATATCGAATTGACATCTATACGATATAATTTTTTTATTCAAAAATTATCTTTACAAAATAT